AGGAAAAATTGCAAAGACAAGAGACCAAAGCGATAATTTTTAATTAAAAATTTAAAAACCACTATTTGGATCCTGACAGATTTAGTGATAATATAAAAATTACATTGCAACAAGTGATAGGCCATCAAAAATCTTCAAGATAACGAGATAGGAACAGAAACAATCAAACACCCTGTATATACCATTGCTATAATATTTTCCCTATAATATTCGAATTTTTAACTAAAAAATTATTTAATTATCTACATTCTAATCATCGCATCTCTAATCTATCATGCGAACAACCCCCAGACACTGGTCACTGCATCCCGATCCTCGGATCAAACGCTCATCAGTCTCCTCATCTCGTTACCCCCTCCACGTGGCAAATTTCGAGCATAAAGGCTCGAGTGTGCGAAAAAGTCGGGAAAGGTGTAAAAATTCGAGGATCCACGTCCGATCGCGTCCCGAAACGATCAAAGACACAGCCGGCAGACAGCTTTTTGCTCCTCTTTGGCTTTTCCCGTAGCGAACGGATCGTCGCCCCTGCATTCTGCGCGCGACCCTCGAAAATTCCGCTCGTCGTCCGAATTCTAAAGCCCGATTACAGGCGTCGATCGAACCCGGCGTGTACCGAACAGCGACGATCGAATTTTCGACCCGAAAGTTCAACCCTCGACGCCGGAAACTGAAAATGCCGCCGCGTCTATGAGGCCAGACGTCTGGCCTAGTACCGGGACCACGGAAATCGCGACAGAGTCCGTCCTCTTTTGCCGAGATTTCACGAAATGCGATAAAGTAAAACGATATCGTATAATTGCTCGCGTGCTCGTACATTTGCCCGCAAATTGGACGTGATTTTCACGCGTTTCGCACGCCGCGAGACGCGAAATGAGTCACGCAAACGCATATTAGGATCAGTGCCAGAGGATCGATTGATAGGGACATTAATGTTCGCGATACAGCGTGTGATACAGTTTGTTACTAAATTTATTAATCGCTCACTGCTGAACGATGTTGCGTATCAAAATAGCCAGTGTGATTATATGGATGTGGAAGATCGTCGTTCGAGATTAACTCTTTGCACTCGAGAGATGAGCTTCGGTCACCATTTTATAAAATTTGGAAGATCAATATTAATTAATATTTCAAATTTAACGCAATGTAACAGTGTGCGAGGTATCGAAATCAAATAATTCTACAATTCCATTATTATACAATTCTTTATTTACTGCTCAAAAAAGTATCGTCAGCTTTTTAGTAAAGAATCTTGGAATTTCTACTCTTCTCTAGCCAAAAGTTGTCGAGTGCAAAGGGTTAATTCCTAAGACACTGTTTGGAAAAATTGATCGTATACTTTAACCCTTTGGACTCGAAGATTTCTTCGTTGGGAAGATGCAATTCGAAGCTCTTAGATTTTTATAAGCTCACTGATACTCTTTATGCTAAAATTAAAAAAAGAAAATCGTGAATTTGCGTGAGAAACGAACGAATAAAGTAATTTTATTTCGATGTTCTTAACATAATTATCATCATCGATTATTTAAATTATAGCATTATAACAAACAGTAACTGAGAGTCACCTCTCGAGTGCAAAGGGTTAATACCTTTTATTGGGTTACGGAAATATTCGCGGATGACTATAATAAATAAAAAGAAAAAGAAAAATATACATATGTATACTTCCAATGAATTATAGTAACGAAGAATAATAATAAATGGAGAAATAAAAGTACGAGGATGAGAGCGAAAGAAAAATAAATATATATGTGAGTAAAAAAGGATAAAAATTATAAAAATAAGACGATGAGGATAAATGAGAAAGAAAGATATTTTACGATTTCACGTACATACTTAGATACATAAACATACACACAGGCGCACACATACATGCACGCGCAAGCTAAACAAAAAGTTGATCGTTTTAAAGATTCTTCGACGTTTGTATATTTTCAATGAATTATAATAATGAAGAATAATAATAAATGGGGAAATAAAAGGAAGAGGATGAGAGCGAAAGAAAAATAAATATATATGTATATAAGTATATATGCATGTATGTAAAAAAAAAAAAATATATAAAAATAAAACGATAAGGATAAATAAGAAAGAAAGATATTTTATGATTTCACGCACATGCTTAGATACACAAGCATATATACGCAAGCATGTATACACATATTACACACTCATATATATGCACACGCAAGCTGAACACAAAGTTGATCGTTATAAAGATTCTTCAACGAGATGAAATTTATTAGGAACATTCGCAGATGGACACTAGAAAATAGAATTTGGAATATACCAGAGTCGTTAATATATTTTCAGATCGTAGTTTATGTTATTGTTCTTCGTATTCCGTTGTTACGTTTTTAGACTAGAGGAATTCGAAATTCGCCGAGTATATCTACGACTGGTTCCTCCTTCGCGGAAACGTGGTCCAGAAAATCTCTATACCGACAATCCTCCGAGCTATCGAAGAATCTGATAAGAACCTGCACGCGATCCAGATTTATATTTCCTCAGAAATACCAAAAATGTGGAAAATATTCTAGACTAAAGATACACCGTGGAACGGAATTTCAAACGCCATGGAAATTCATCTACCAAACTCTAAATTCCTATTTTGCGACGATGGACACCGTTAACGATACATCTAACTTCAGAAAATTTTAGACACGACGGAAATTCATCTGCCTAACTCTGAATACCTATTTTTCGCCGAAGAAAATATTTTTCCGGCGCAGAAATTCGCTCGAAATTCGTCGAGCCTCGTCGATGGACACCGTCAACGATAAATCTAACTTTAGCTCAAACTTTCAGGAGTCTCCAAAATCTGTGTCCGATATTCGCAACACGCGTAAGCCTTGGTCTTAACTCGTTAATTAAATTAAATCGGCCGTCGTGACGGTTATCGGATCTCTTTTGCTCGATATTTTGATCGATTCGATTACGAGCCTCGTCTGGCTTCCGATGACATCGAACATTTCCTCTCGTTTTTATTTTATTTTATTTTTATTTCTATTCCTTCGGACGCGAGAAAGAAGAGTCGGAGGAATTTCGCATGTAGAGAAGCTAACAGCGTTTTTCCGAATCGAAGATCGTACGGCACTGGCAACTGTTGGTCGCGATGGAATGTTGGCAGACTGACAACGGCGTCGCTCGTTGTTTTTAGACGCTAAGTCTCTTTGGGTATACAGAAAGCCGGGCTCTTTTCGCGGTTCCACGTCTAATCATCGGGAAACGAGCGAACAATGCGTCTGGAACGAAATGGATCGAGATGGGACAGCGATGCTTGACGCTGATGACGGAGATGATTAGTAAAATGAGCCTGGGGACCTAGGGACGTTGAAGGTAACGTTGAACGTCGTTTGCGAGATTGTTTAGAGATAGATCTGTGACATAAGTAACCCGGAGTTTTCGCGAGATGAGTGTTGGCGTGCGAAATAATGGTGTCGCGACTGATTTCCACACTGGTATCCAACCTCTATGATGCATTTGTAATTCATGGTAAAACTTGCGAACATAGCGTATATCGAGATAAAATTCGCATCCTTGATTCTTCTCGAGTTCATCGAAATTCGAAGATTTTCTTTTTATTTTCTTTTTTTATCGGCTTTTATTTGTTTATCTTTTATTTTTTTTATTTTTTCTTCGTTTCTTTAACTTATTTCCACGTGTCTTTCTTTCACTGAATTTTTTTCTTTAATTTCATTTATTTTATTCGATTTTTAACTCCAAGTTTTCTATTTTCCTTTTTTCCTTTTTTCCTATTTTCCTATTGGCTCTTTTATTGGCTTTTTCCGTTTCATTGGTTATTTCCGTTTTTAGAATTGTTTTTCAAATTCTTTCATTTTGCCTATTTTTCTTGATTCTTAATTTTCGTGTTTTTTCTTATTTTTAAAAGCTCCTCAAATTTCCCCTGAAACGCTTTTTCCCCCACCTTTCATCTTTTTCTTTTTTTATCACTACTATTTTTAACGTGTTTTTTAGTACTTTCGAAACATTCTTTCATTTCAGTATTTTTTTTATAGTATTCTATTTTCTTTTTAAGAGATATTTCTCGATTTGTTAAAACAGATTTAAGAATTCGGAGATTATTCGAATTTGAAAACAATTTAAGATGAAAGTAATTTGAAATTTCGATCGTACTTTTAAATCCCGCGCAAGTTATGAATTTTAATTGAAAATCGCGCCGACGCTTAAAAATTACGGAATTCAGTTAAATATTAATTTTGGAACTCGTGAAAATACTTTCAGAGTAAATTGGTTTCGAACCGGGGTCCGCAGATTGAAAATCTCGAGTTCTCCACCCACGACCACCATAATTCTTAATTCCGGATTATAAATACTCGCTATTACTGGCACTATTCTGATCGTCGAAAATTACTTTAAATTCATAGAATAATCAATATTTAACAAAAATTATTAAAAATTCCAGAAAAGTTACCGAAAATTTTATGAATTTCCGATAAATTTCATACAAATTCGGTAACCTTAGATACACGATTACTATAATTATTAATAACTTTACTAAAATTTTTATAAAATTATCAAAAGAAACAATAAATTTTGTTTACTATTACCTCGCTATAAATACTGCAATCACCTCGATTATTATATCAGGATCGATCAAATTTCCGAATAGAAATAAAATATCTCCAAAAATTAGTGGCTTAAAAATAAAGAATACACGATCATGTTCGTTCCCAGGATTAATAATCTGTTCAAAGGAGCAGCACCTCAACGACACCGTGAAACTTCGGAGGAACCTCGTATTTTTGCGTGAAACTTGCGCGATACCACTTTCATAGTGATGCAGCCTCGTCTGGGGCAACGGAGCATGGTCGTTTCACCTAATACCGCCATGTATTTTAAATGCTAATGCCTTTGTATCGAACTTGGCCGAAACTTGGCAAATTCTCCGACCATTTCTCGGCTATGCTCCTTCGCGATATTAATTATCGATATTAATTAACGTTCGGGGAAGAGTAATCGATAATGAACTCTGTACTTACCTCTGGACGTGAGCTTTTTCGTGTTTATGATCTTCGCCGCGAACTCGTGACCGGTGCTCTTCTGAACGCATCGTCGAACCACCGAGAAGGCACCCCTGCAACAGATCAACGGACATTCGGGTTAATTTACGACAAACGGGTTTGCTTCGAGCTTGCGACGATAAAACTGGCGAAAAACGATACGGTTAATCCGTTAACGAGCAAGGCTCTCCAAACTTTGAGACAGCTGGGTCTCTTCAACGGGTGGATAGTCAGAGCTTCAACTTTCGTCATTGCCTTGGAACTGAGGGTAGTAAGGATAGTCGCAGAGGGTGGTGAAAATTGGTGGACATATCTTGGAAGGCTCGCTTTGGAAATTAATTATCATTAAATATAGAAACAGGGTGAATTAATGAGTCTTGGATTTCTGAAAATTTTCGAATCACTTAGGATAGTATGATCGTTTGCAGAGGGTGGTGGAAATTGGTGGACATATCGTGGAAGGCTCGCTTTGGAAATTAATTATCGTTAAATATAGAAACAGGGTGAATTAAAGAGTCTTGGATTTCTGAAAATTTTCGAATCACTTAGGATAGTATGATCGTTTGCAGAGGGTGGTGGAAATTGGTGGACATATCGTGGAAGGCACGCTTTGGAAATTAATTATCGATAAATATAGGAATAGTGTGATTTAAAGACTCTTGGATTTCTGAAAATTATCGAATCACTAAGGAGTGTGATTGTTCGCAGAGGGTGGTGAAAATTGGCGAAGATTCTCTTTGGAAATTAATTAATCCTATGAAAGTTTAAAATAAAATTAAAAACACAGAATTTTAAAATAAGAAAATTTGTAACTTCTCCGAAGAAGAAATACATATAGGGTACTCTAAAATGACCAATCAGTCATTCGAGGAAACCTCTATTGCACAAAGACATGAAATCTCTTCTCTTTGCAAAAGAATACCTAAATCAATTCCAAAAATACACAAATCATTCACTGAGGGTGATGAAAACTGGTGGGCATATCTTGGAAGACTGGCTTTGGAAATTAATTATCGATAAATATAGGAATAGTGTGATTTAAAGACTCTTGGATTTCTGAAAATTATCGAATCACTGAGGGTAGCATGATTGCTTGCAGAGGGTGGTGAAAATTGGCGAAAATTCTCTTTGGAAATTAATTAATCCTATGAAAGTTAAAAATAAAATTAAAAACACTACATTTTAAAACAAAAAAACTTTTCCTTTCTCCGAAGAAGAAATACATACAGGGTACTCTAAAATTACCGATCAACCTAACCTAACCTCTACAGCACAAAAACTTGAAATCTCTTCTCTTCGCAAAATAATGCCCAAATCAATTCCAAATAGACGAATCATTAGAAATGCAGTTCAAACATTCGAAGAACCCACACCTCATCAAACATAACCTCCAATCCACGTCGGTCAGCGAAACTCGAGCGATCATGAGGAAATCGAGGCAAAACAGGAAGGGGTGGTCGCGACTCCTGGGTTCGGCTTGGAAACGCAACTGTTTTGTCTCTGGCCGGTGTTCTTTGTCTTCGTACAATCGGATGAGGGAAGAAAAGAAGGTGGCGTGGGCGAAAAGTGACCCAGATCCACGACGAAGCAATTAGCGAGCGAAAGGAATTGAACTTCCGGTGCTCGTTATTATTCCTCGAGTATTATTTATCCGCTTCGATCGAGCTAACGAACGTCGATCATTGAAAGGGTTTCACTTGGGATTGGTAGGGGTAGAAATAACGGCGAAGATGCGAGGAAAATAGGAAGCCCAGGAGAGAAGAGGGGACAGCGGACGCACGTTAACTGCTCGCCGGATGTCGACGCGTCTGTCCGTCGTGGATCGATCCTTTTTGCCAGGTGAACATCGGCAGAGCCTTGGAATCGGTAAGAAAGCATCGAGACGAGTGTAATTGGCCGGGAATAGGGGAAAAAGACGACTCGATTATGGTCCGTTTAACCGGAAGAATCGCGATCAGGCACCTGCGAGGGTCGCGAAATTGTCCTCGTGATCTTTATGGCAAATTGTCCGTACGACCATTCGTGGCAACGGGTAATTGCTGGAATTTATTTTATATTCAGGCCTGTATTGCTGGGTTCGATTTCGTTGCGATATTTCGTTGGATAAATAGCGATTGGCTTTGGAATTATTATTATTTGGAGGTCATCCGTAGATTTACCATTTTGGGGAATTAAATGGTAAAATTATTTTAATTAATTTAGAGAAAAGAAAATTTTCTTCTCGTTTCTTTAGTTGACAAAACAGAGCAAAAGAGATGAAACCTGTCGATGAAATTAGGTATAGTATTTCTTTTTTAATAGAATATTTAAATAAAATAAGAATTTAATTATAAAGACAGTGGGTAGTGAAGTACTATTATATGGAGGCATCCGCAGATTTACCGTTTTGGGGAATTAATTAGGAAAATATATTAAAGAATATGTTGTATCTCTTAATATATTTGTCTGACAAGAAGATATTCCTATTATTTTAATTAATTTAGAGAAAAGAAAATTTTCTTTTTGTTTTTGTAGTTGACGATATAAAGCAAAAGGGATGAAACCTGTCGATGAAATTAGGTATAGTATTTCTTTTTTAATAGAATATTTAAATAAAATAAGAATTTAATTATAAAGACAGTAGGTATTGAAGTACTATTATTTGGAGGCATCCGCAGATTTACCATTTTGGGGAATTAATTACTAAAATTAATATATGTTGTATCTTTTATTATATTTATCTACTAAGAAAATATTGCTATTATTTTATTCGATTAAGAGAAAAGAAAATTTTCTTTTCGTTCCATTAATTGCTATAAAACAAAAGGGATGAAAGCTGTCGATGAAATTAGGTATAGTTAGGTATAGTATTTCTGTTTCAATACAATACTTAAATAAAATAAGGATTTAGTTATACAGACAGACGGTAATAAAGTTGAAATTAAAATCCAGTGATTTGGAATTAAATTAATTGCTAGAACTAGTTCCTAGAATTAAAACGAAATTAATCAGGGGAAATTAAACTAGTCGCGGGAATATAAGTAAAATTAATTAACAAAATACGCAGCTGCTTTCGACAAAATTAATATTAGCTTCCACTCGTATGGAGTGCTAATTATGCGCATTTGTTCATTTTCATCGCGCCGGTTTAATTATTCTATCGTATTTAAACACGAATTGTATCAAAGAATACTATACCCAAAAAATTCGCCAAGCATTTCCGCGTTACTACCCCTGTATATTTCTCATTCCCTCGTTATCTTCCCACAAGCGTGAGACGCTCGTGCTGCCAGCGATACTGAAATATCGGGCAACCCGGCAATATCCCCATAAAACTAAAATCTTCGCAAACTCCCCGATGGCCACGCAGCACTAAACTCCTCGCGTTCCTCATAAAGCCTCCATGATCGATCCCGCGTCCTCCTGGTACTCAAATTTTAACATCCCCTATAACACCCCTATGCAACTCGAACAACCCCCATGACGCCACTGTCCTATCGCAACCCCAAACTATCCATCATCCACCCCGCATTACGGATAAATTATCCATTCGTTAATAAACCCAAACCCGGCCCCAACTACCCCAAAATCCCAACCCTCCAACACCTTCTCCCTCTTTCGTCATCCATCACAAGTATTAAAATTAACAACGTCGAACAGAGAAAGAAAGAGAGAGACAGAGATAGACAGAGAGAGAGAGAGAGAAAGAGAACCAAACGAGAGAAATAAATATTAATAACAATAATATTAATTATAATAAAAATATTATTAAAAATATTATTAAAAATATTATAATAAAAATAATAATAATAATAAAAATAAAGATAAAATAGGAAGACATGGGATATTAAATTATTTAATTCCTGGTAGCAATAGTCGATGAGGATCAGATATGCTATTTTATTCCCTCCTTATTTTTGTTAGTGGTGGATGAAATTTAATAAGAATAAGAGCAATTATTTATTTAATTACAAAAATTATCAAACACCAATATTGCTTTGAAATATAATTATTTTATTACTATCACATGCTCACACGTCTTCTCTCTATTAATACTCAATGGCAACTAACGTATGTCAAATCATTTTCAATTTCATCGGAAACGAGGGGATGTCAAAAAATGACCGAAGGAGGTTTCAAGCGCAAAAGTTTGGGCACCCCTGTGACAGAGGATACAAAGAAGATACATACAGAGGAAGAGCCAAAAAAAAAAGAACGGTGACCAGGGTTAGAAAGGTAGGGAAAAAGTGGAGAAAAAGGAGTAAAAACGGAGCAAAAGCGGAAGCAACGCGAGGACGAAAGGTCAAGCAGAGTACGGCGTTTTGCAGAGGCCGGTCGCGTATCCTTCCTTGAAGTAGTTCAAGGCAGGGCGCATCGGCGCAAACGCAACCTTAATGTTTCATCCTGCAGGCGTCGGCGTCGTTGCAGCGCCAGCGCCGCGGCGCTCCTGCGCTCGGTCGGCCACGCCAGTAGGTCTGCAAGGAAAAAGGGCGAGGCGGCCACCCACTGCCACCCCCTGCCGCCCACTGCGAGCCTCTGCCACCCTCTGACAGCCTCTGCAATCCTCTGCCACCTTCTGCAACCCCCTGAAACCCTCTGCCATCTTCCGACACCCTCCGACACCCTCTGTTACCCTCTCACTGTCTCTGCAATCCTTTGCCACCCTCTGCAACCCTCTGCCACCCTCTGCCACCCACTGCGAGCCTCTGCAATTCTCTGCCACCTTCTACAGCCCCTGAAACCCTCTGCCATCTTCCGACACCCTCCGACACCCTCTGTTACCCTCTCACTGTCTCTGCAATCCTTTGGCACCCTTTGCAACCCTATGCCACCCACTGCGAGCCTCTGCAATTCTCAGCCAACTTCTGCAACCCCCGAAACCCTCTGCATCTTCCGACACCCTCCGACACCCCCTCAGTGTCTCTGCAATCCTTTGCCACACTTTGCAACTCTATGCCACCCTCTGCCACCCACTGCGAGCCTCTGCCACCCTCTAGCAACCTCTGTAATTCTCTGCCACCTTCTGCAACCCCCTGAAACCCTCTACCATCTTCCGACACCCTCCGACACCCTCTTACTGTCTCTGCAATCCTTT